CACTGTTTACGTCGCATTGCACGAGTCTGGTGGAACAGCGGGACGATCAATGCTGAGGTTAGGAGTAGAGTTTTAGGTAATCGCGGTCGTCCACTAGATTACGTTGTTTGGGTCATGTGCTACGCATGTCACCTGATGGGTTGCTACGGCGAGCGATGCTTGGCAAGGCAGGTAGCGGTTGGAAACAAATGAAGGGCGGTCAAGCTAAGACTTAGCATGAGGGTATGGAAGCCCTGGCCAGGAGACTGGCTCACATAGGTCCCGTTAGGCTCCCTGGATGAGGACCTCGAGATCATTGTCACCGGCGGTTAGAGACACTGGCTGGGTGTCGCAAATAGTGGCGCTCATGCATCTTTTATTATTGATTATTCTCGTAACTTTAGTCTATGAAAATGTGCTACCTTTCGCTTAAATCTGCTCTCGATATTCTAATCATCATTCTGCTATTTTATCCAAATGGGCAACCAAAACCGGCGCACAAAAGTGCATCATTAATGGTTGTAAGAACTGAACTGATATGCTTATCATTCGTAATAACAATTTGACTCGACTGCCTTTTTCGACTCCATGTTTCCTGGTGTCACAATTATGTCCTTGGATTCGGGATCTGTACTGGCATAGAACCAATTCGCATATTTGAACATAGCAGTCAGTACACAACCACTTTTGTAACTAACTATATTGCAGTGAATGTTCTTGAACGTTAATACAGTTGCATTTTACCAACTCGTTCCGCGAATGCTTTCCGCTCCAATCACAGTTATTCGACCGGGTACTGCTGCAGCTGAAGGGTTGTCCGCCGAGGATTTGGAACGGCGTGAGTCGTTGCTTCGGGCGAAAAAAATCAAATTGCAAAATCCAAATGTGTTCATCTCGGACGTGCGTTTGTGCGTGCGCAATCTTCCACTGTCTGTGACGGATGAACAGTTGAAACAAGTGTGCCAGGATATTATTGGCAAAGCCAAACACTGTCGAATCACCGAGGCAAGTTTGTCTTCTCCCCTAGGGTGGTATTTCGATTTTTACGGATTCTGTTGATCACATTCTAATGATTCTACTTTTCTGCGGTTCATGTTGACTTTCCACCCATTCACGTTCCATTATTCTGCCTGTAAGATCCGTTCTGTGATCCCCGTTGCTTCACTCTTCTCTTCCAACAGTGTCGGGTGATGCGCAATTTGCAGCCGGGCAGGCAACAATTTCGCTCGCTAGGCTACGCGTTTGTCACGTTCGTGCAGCACAAACATGCACTGAAAGTGTTGAACGAGTTGAACAATAATCCGGATGTGTTTCCAAACCAGCGAGTGAGTCTCTCTACTAGTCTATTCTCAGTGCTTCGTGTCATGGTTGTGCAGGTCGCCGTAATCGCCGTGCTTGTGAAGTGACCACTTCCGGTTCAAAACCGCACCTAACCCAGCANNCTTATGTGGTCCGCTACTTCAAGTCCCGGAGCTTAGGTTGCCGGTTTCCACCACTGAACAGCAGGTCCCTGTGACGGTGGGGTTCGCCCCGTCTGCTGTTCATCACACTAAAGTGTGTAATAGGAAAAAAACGGAAATCATTGTTGTCACATCGGGATATTTTCATTCTATTAAGAGTTTGAATAGGTGACTATTTCTATTACTTTCGCTTCATTTCAGTTCGAACCTTGTCTAGCTCATATTCAGTTTTAAAAACAGTCGTCAATAGTTTCACATTGATGTGTGCCTGTGAGAAGGGATAGGGGAACCAATCCATGTTCCCTTCAACCGTGTTATTATTCATGGTAAATTAAATTAAAATTAATAATGCTCTGTTGGGGGGTTGACCACCGTGCGTGAGTGGTCATGAGACATCTGACCTATCCTTTTGCAGAAGCTACTCGCTTAGGTTTAAAAGTGAGCCCAGTCGTCACAAAAGCCAGTAATTATACACTAGGTTTGCACTGATGAACCATATATACTTCCAACAGAACAACCGTGATGCTAAATCGAACGACATCAAACAATCTTACCATCATCGCTGGGTGGGATGGTAGGGTATGGACACATGACTGCGAACTAAACCGCTTAGCCACTACCACTGTAATCAGCATTTTCATCCCCTCAGCTTTGAACAATTAGAGCTACCGATTACTTCAACAGGTGTGACATTGAGCGTGCGATCCAGGCAGCTGCCTAGCATACAACTTTGGTGTCTATTTGGACTTCCCACCTAAGATAAACGGCAGCACAAATCCGAAGACTAACCGAGTTTGAGTTTTGTTATCTAGTTTCCACGGAATTCTTGACCATGTGTTGACTTGATTTCACTATCAGCTCAACCAAACCCCAAACCTAATTGAAGGGTAGCCAAGCGTAGTTCATAAAAGGAAACCGATACTGTCAACCAATTATGCGTTTTTCCAATTTCGAAATATGCCCATACTCGCATTGAGAACACAATTTCATGTGAACAATTGTTTTCAATAACTCATAATCATTCCGTTACAGTTTATATGGGGGGGCACCTGGGGGTTGGGAGGGGAATCGTTCACTTCGTGTCTGTGTGTGTGTGTGTTGCACACACCGGTGTTTTCCGCCTATACGAAACACAGCATGTTGTGTTAGCTCGGTTCCTTCACATTCGGGCTAGGCAAACTGTGCCTGCATCAAAACATCTACAATCATCGTTTCGTAGTCGCGAGAGAACATTCACGCGCATTTGTGCGTGATTTCAGTGAAAGATTATCATCCTTAGTTTGGTCTGATTCTATGTGGCCGTATATGGCTCAGAATAGAAATCGGTGGCGCGAATCCTGTACGGTCTGTCTGTTGAAAGCCCGTGCCCCATAACAAAAAACAGTAAACTATAACACAACAATATCAAAAGTGCTGGGTGAAACAACGAAAAGAAATAAATTGTTATTCTTGTTATTCAACTTAACTGGCTCTGCTATGTATCCAATCCCTCCCCATGTTCTGTTGTTCTTGTTGCGTTGGCACCAAGCTTGCTCGCAAGCTGGTGATATATATATATATATCATAACAAGTAGTGTATGAATGACTGGAAAAAACTCCCTGGGGCCACACGATCGGTTCCGCGGTTCTTGTCGCTCGTCAGGCATGCGTATCCGGTGACCTTTTGTCAGTTTATTATTCAGGGAGTGCATTTTTGTCGCAACACCGGGTAATTTTGGATAGATAGTTCTTCCAGAACCAGTCCATTGAAGAATCAATACTATGATTCGATTTTTTCTAGGTGGGTTAGATGCCACTAACGGCAACGAACGTGATGGGAGCGTCTTTTTAGAATATTTCATGATAAGTAGTATATATTCGTTATCTCCACTTTCAACACACACACATACAGGTCTACACACCGTATGTACCTACTCAGATTCATTCATTGGCATCTATTCCCCCTTCCCGCATTCCGTTTTCAGCGTCCAATAGTGGAATTCTCCCTAGAGAACATACTGGCGCTGGAGAAGAAGAGGAGACGAGCCGAACGATGTGCGGTAGGTGATACTTGGATTTTCCTTTTCCAGGTTGTGACACACAGCTTCAAGTAGTGAAGCATACCTTCCACCAGGTGTATTCTTACACTCATCCGGGTTTTTGCACGA